CCCCCCTGCCTGTGGGGCAGCGGGATGGGTCATGGGAAGGGACGGCTGAGCAGTGCAGCTGGCACTGTGCTGGCCCAGGCTCCTGGGGTCCCCTGTGCCGGGGTGGGGACCCACCTGCCCTTCTGCACCCCCACCAAAGGCTCCATGCCACCCCGCTGGCACTCATGGGGCAGGCAGGGCGCACGTGCAGGGCTCAGGGATGCGCAGGGAACGCTTGGAGCAGGGCCAGGAGGAGGAAGGATGCTGTCTGTTTTTCCATCTTCTCTCCCTCCACGCACCCCACAAGCCCCCCTTCCTTTCATCCTCCCCCCTGCGCTGGGATGAAACAACCCCATCTGGAAATACCTTCCCTTTTAAAGGCAGGCTCCGCCAGGCAGCGTGCACCCTCCGGGAAGCCGCCGCATTACGCTGTGCCCAGGCAGCCGGGAGGGGCTCCAGGGATGGGGGGCTTGGGGGGGGCAGCCTGGATGCACGGCATCGAGCCCACCTGTGTGGCCATGGGCCCAGACCTTTGCTGGCCCCCCAGGTGGCAGGGGGATGGCAGGGAGCAGGCAGGGCAGTGGAGGATGCTGTCGTCACCAAACGCAAGCCTTTGCCGTGCCGTGCTGCCACGGATGAGCCTTGGCACCGCTCCTTGCAGCCAGGGTGGGGGGCCAGGAGGTGCAGGGTGGCCAGGGCTGAGCGCTGCTCCTGCTGCTGAGTCACCCGGTGCCCAGTGGCACCACAGTCCCCTCCACCAGGGCCTCTGGGGACAGAGGCGCTGGGGCTGTGCCAGCTGATGTCAGCCAAAACAGCCCAGCTCGGGCAGGGCTGGGGGCCACCAGGTGTGCCAGGGGGGCCTGGGGAGGAGGGGGGGGTTCCCAGGTTTTTTCCCCCCCCCCCAAGGGGGTTCCCCAGCACAGTCCCCCTCCATCAGAATGTCCCCATTAGCTGGCATGGATTTGTGCATGGCCGCAGGGGTCCCTGCCCTGGCCCACTGCCTGTCTAGGAGGTGGGAAGCTGCGGTGGGGGTCCTTGGGGTAAACTGGAGTATCCCCCATTCTGAGAAGGTTTGGGGAGCTGGACTGGGCTTTCTGCTCCCCAGAGTATTGCCGGGTCAAGGGGGAGGCTGAGGAGACAGGGCAGAGCCTGCATCACCCCAGGATGAGCTGGGGACCTTGTCCTGCTCTCGGGGTGATGGGGACCAGGGAGGGGCTGGGGCCGCTCTGGGCAGGGTCCCCGTCCGGCCGTGCTCTGTGTTCCTGGTGCAAGAAAGGCTAACAGGGTGCCTCCCGGGGCTATAAATACCATGTATGTCCCATGAGCATGAGCTCTGGAGGCTATTTTGGTTGGGTGCCTGCTGCTTCGGGAATGTGCCGGAACGAGGACCTGGGGGGTGACGTCACCGGGACCGCTCTGGACCCAGCACCTGCTCGGGGTCACTCAGCAGCACCCTGAAAGCTCCCAGGCCCAGTCTGGCACTCAGCCCCCCATATTAGAAAGGGGGGGTTTGGGTGGTGGGTCAGCACAAGCACACTCAGGGCAGGGGGCCCCCCAACATCATCCCCCCCCCAGGGCCCTTCCTTGCCCTCTCTCGGAGTGGGGGGGGCTGGAGTCTGGCCCCACATGGAAAGCTGAGCCTGGTGTTCTTGCTGTGGGGTGGGTCAACACACTATCGGGGGAATTTTGGGGTGCTCAAGGCTAATTCGGGGACTGTGGCCACCAGGCATGGGGTCTGGCTCAAGGAGGGGCAAGTGAGGGTGTGAAGGGCTGAGTCCCCTTCTTTCTCCCCTAGCCTGTTTGTCTGTCCAGACCTCCCGTGGGTGACACTGCGCCCCGATGGGGGTCTGGGCAGTGCTGGGGGTTCCACAGGCATCGTCGTCGCCCACCCCGGGGTCCGCGTCCCGGCAGCGCAGGCAGGTGAGGGGC